ACAAGAGGGCATCAATAACATTATATACAAGGTTTTGTGCCCATGAAAACACAGCATAAGAAATTGTTGAGAAAGGATTCAAGGAACTGGTCCTTCAGCTCCTGACAGACATCACATCGTGAGAACTCTGAACGGGCTCGGAACTTCATGACCAGTGTCCACTTTGAGTTCCAGCACCGTAGAAACGTAACATACCTAATGTCAAACAGGCTTTCATGTTGCTTGCTTCCGCAAATGGCCAAAGCAAAGCAAAAACTTGTTCCAATTCAAGTCCAAATCACGACGCTTTTTGTTCAATCTCATGTGCAGAGCACCACCCAAGGTAGAACTGGAACAGCTCAAACAGTGTTCCAGCTGGCAAGTACTTCCGTGCCATGTTCGATAGATCCTTTGGGTGTGTATGTGATTGTTTGGGAAGGGCTTTACAAATAGAGAGATATCCCAGATTTAGTCCAAAAAGAATCACGGGAAAAATCTCACTCATCTCCAAGAGTCTGACAAAGCACCAGTGGAATTCATAGCCAGCAAAAAACTAGTGTTTGACTGGAGGTATTCGACAAGCTCGTTGTCGTCTGGTTCAAGGTCCGAGGGTGTTAAGTAATCATCATCACTGTCATCTTTATCTTCTTTCACAACCGTGTATCGCCTCGCAGGCCAAACTCGAACCAGCCTTGCAGGGTCAGTGTTGATGTTGTTTTGAAAAGACAATGTTTTCTATTAGGCAGGCAGAACCCTTGCCTGTTTGGCAGGGGTTCAGCGATGCTGTTGTAGAGGACGAGGCAAAAGCTATCAACAGACGCCGTGCGGACAGATGCTTTGCTATTAGCTCGTGCACCAAACCTCATGTCAATGGCGCACAACTTGTCCAGTCTGTGTGATGACACCCCCAGCAACGCTTGCAGACATACACGACGTACATACTTGTCCAAGAAGTAAAACTCTCGCCGACAGGCCTGGTTTTTCCCAATTTTGGATTCACTGGCATCGTTCCAGGCCAGGAACATGATGGTATCTTGCTCCAATTTGGTCCTGCTCTCAAACAAGTCCAAAAACTGTTTCACGTCCTTCTCCTGAAACTGGCTGAAGCAGCCCCCCATCAGCACACTTGCATTTGCTGCCCAGCAGACTGCGGATCCGGTCCTCATTTCAACACTTTTACCCGTTTGAAATGGGGCACTATGGGCACATCCGTATGCATGTAAGAAAGAGTCCAATCATGTTTGTAATGCAGTCATGTCTGTAAGAATGCAGTTGTGTAACTACATGGCATTCATAAACGTACATTGGTCTATCAAGAGGTAGATAGTCAAATAGATGGGAGGCAGAGACCCACAGGCTAGAAACAAAAAACACACAGGAAGATGCAATGATTATTTTGCTCTTCCATTTTCTCTTCCTTTCTTCCTTCCTCCTTCTCTTTCTCACTGTTTCTACCTTCTCTTTGTTTCTTTCTCTCGACTACCTCTCTCTTTCTCTGCCTCTTTTCTTTTTGGCTCTATCTCTCTCTCTCTCTCTCTCGCTCTCTTTTCTCGTTTCTTTCATTGTTTGTTGTTCATTCACTCTTTACCTGTGTCTCTTTATCTCTATCTCTCAACTCACTCCCTCTTTCTCCTATACCTCTCTAGTTTTTTCTGTTCTATTTCTGTTGCTCCAAGTTGAATCACATGTCATGAGTGGATGAGTCTCTGGCTAATGAGTGGATGGATGTATATATATGGATAACTAAAGTACATTAATACACATACATGATGCTGTCCACACATGTATTGTTATATGTATGCAACTCCGATGCTACCTCTATTCATCCCGAGTTTCAGAAATGACACCCGGCAAGAATGAGGTGATAAAATGTTGTAACTCTTTGTTCAAGAGTCCAAGCTGTTTCTTGCAAGTCGAGTTGTCGCAGGTTCATTCTCTGGTAGCTGCTTTGCTGCTGCTGCTGCTTTTGCAGCACGTTTTGCGTTGTTGTACTTTCTCTTCTTTTTCACAGGCTCTGCGTGTTCTTTTTGTCCAGCCCTGCAAAGCTGGGAATC